AAGGTTGTGTCTCCTGCGACCGCGAGGAATTAAGCTGGAAATAAGTTTCCCTATTGCCAACCACGACCACGATGACGACGTGCCCTCCGTGGTCCGTACGCTCCTCAAGACTCAGCTTCGAACGAATGCCAGCAGCGAACATTCAGCGGCAGATCAGAGTCACACTGCTCGCGAGGAGTTAGGCCACGAACTAGCTCACTTCACTTCTCTTCCCGTCGTTAACCCTGTGTTACTATGTAACTACGACCTGGTAATACTAGTTGCTCTGACGCTCTGTATTCTCCGTTGGCCCAAATATTCAGCTTCAGCAGCATGCAGCAGAGACTCTGAATCAGTCACCGTAACTCTGCACCAGTCCAAGCTGCAGCTAGCCAGCAAAGGTAACCATTAGTGGAACTTGCAAACCCAAGAGAAACACAGGCCAAGGCGCCACCGCTGCCTCAATATCAACGTCGCAGCAACGAGCCAAGGGCAGCACGTCCAGCTGCGAAACCAAGGCGCCACCAGCGGGAACATCGCCTCCAAAGCTTCTGGACGCAGGACAAAACACCTCGCGTTTGGCGGCCTGGGATGCGTCCATCGGCGCATCGCGTACTCAGAAACTTTCTTGTTTGCGGCATCATATAAGCAATCAGGCAGGGCGAAGGGGAAGCCGCAAGCCCACCGCAGCAAAGATGCAGCAGCCGCAGCCGCAGCATCAGCATCAGCACAGGACCGCCATGCGGAGGGACGGCGAGAGGGACCACCGGAGAGCGGCGGCCGAGAGGCCAGCCGCCCACCGGACGGAGAGGGAGGCGGCGGACGAGACGGCCCATCGGAGAGCGGCCGAGGCGCCTCCACGCCGGACGGAGAGGGCGGGCGAGACGGCGGCCACCGCCCGGAGAGCGGCGGAGATGCCCGCTCGCCGGACGGAGAGGAAGAAGAGCCTGGAGAGCCTCCTGGACGCCGCGGACGTGCGGGGGAAGCGCGGCGGCCCTGTGCCGGCCGGCGAGAAGATCACCACCTTCCCCGGCCAGGGCCTCGAGTTCAAGAACCTGTCCTACAGCGTCATCAAGAAGCAGAAGAAGGACGGGGTCAAGATCAAGAAGGAGGTGTACCTGCTCAACGACATTTCCGGGCAGGCGCTCCGCGGCCAAGTCACCGCCATCCTCGGCCCCAGTGGCGCCGGCAAGTCCACTTTCCTCGACGCCATTGCCGGAAGGATCGCCAAGGGGAGCCTCGAAGGGTCTGTCAGCATCGACGGACGACCCGTAAGATATTTAACACTCAATGGTTAATAATGTTGCATTTTCATTCATTCAAGTACCAGCTAGGTTGATTACAAGAAGGGGGGAAGAAAGAACAAACGGTGCAGTTCCTTATGCTCTAAACTGAAACTTGATCAGGTCACCACGAGCTACATGAAGCAGATTTCCTCTTACGTGATGCAAGATGATCAGCTGTTTCCCATGCTTACGGTGCTGGAGACGCTCACGTTTGCAGCTGAGGTCAGGCTCCCGCCATCCCTCTCAAGGGCTGAGAAGCTCAAGAGGGTGTGGGAACTCATTGAGCAGCTTGGTCTGCAGGTAACCCCTTAATTCTCCCTACTCAAGCATTCCTAAATGAGTCAAACAATAATAATAGTTCAATTTATGCACTGCTTTGCCACATTCTGTACCTTAATTGATCACATAAGCATCACTGGTGAGAATACTAGTTCAGTACTTAAAGACATCATGTTTCCCGATTATTATTTTGATGTTTTCCATTGCAGTAGATTGTGATCCAATGCCCTCTCACTTAACACAAATATGTGACACAACTGGACCAATAGTATCGAGGAATCGCAACCGAACTAAGCTGAAGCAACATATAGCAAAATAATAATCGGATAATATCTGGTACACCGGAACTACATGAAAAATGGCGCCTGAGAAAATTGTTCAGATTTTTGACAAGCATACCCTTGCCAAATGACAGACAACCGCTCACACATACATTGGGGATGAAGGGGTGCGAGGGGTCTCTGGCGGGGAACGCCGCAGAGTGTCAATCGGCACAGACATCATCCATAAGCCATCTCTGCTGTTTCTCGACGAACCAACCTCTGGCCTCGACTCCACTAGTGCATACAGTGTGGTGGAGAAAGTGAAGGATATTGCCAAAGGAGGAAGCATTGTGCTCATGACGATTCATCAACCATCTTTCAGGATACAGATGCTTCTTGACAGAATTGTCATCCTTGCAAGGTATACCATTTTATTCAATCTGGTCTTCTCAGGCCTGTTAATAACTTCCTTTGTGCCTGTTAATGGTTAATTACATTCCAGTCGTATTGCACTATGCTATATACTCTTCTAACTAGTTCCAATAATTTTATCCAGAGGACGACTGATCTATCTAGGCAACCCAACCACACTTCCCACATACCTGGCTGGATTTGGCCGACCAGTACCTGAGGGTGAGAACAGCATGGAATATCTACTGGATGTCATCAAGGAGTACGATGAATCAACACTTGGCCTTGAGCCTCTGGTTGCATACCAGAGGGATGGCAGCAAACCCACCGAAGCTGCGAAGACTCCGGTGCCGAGAACACCAAGGACACCATACCAGAAGTCAGTCCAGTTCAGGCAAATGCAACTCAAAAGCAACCAGTTTTCACTTGCAAGCGCAACGCCTCATGCTAACCCCTTCTCAAACTTTGAGTCCTACAATATTGATGACGAGGAGGGTGATTTCGACAATTCTCTTGAGAGAAAAATACAGACACCGATGCACACTGCAAACTCGGGCTACCATCCAAGATTAGCTTCACAGTTCTACAAAGATTTCTCAGTCTGGGTGTACAATGGTGTCGCAGGGACACCGCAGCGCAGGCCTACTTGGACTCCAGCTCGAACACCAGCAAGGACCCCAATGTCAAGCTACCAGCGAAGCCGTGTGAATACGCCGCACAGGTCAATTCCTCCATCTCCCCAAGAACCAGTGTTCAAGCCAGAGGAGCCAGACTATGAGGAGCAGGAGCTTGATATTGAGCCACTAGATGCACCAGAGGACGGGCCAAAGTTCGCCAATCCTTGGCTCAGGGAGGTGGCTGTACTTTCCTGGCGTACCGCACTTAATGTCGTGCGCACCCCGGAGTTGTTCCTCTCTCGTGAGATTGTGCTCACGGTCATGGCGCTCATCCTCTCGACGCTGTTCCATCGCCTCAGCGGTTCTGATTTCTTGACAATCAACCGCATCCTCAACTTCTACATCTTTGCAGTCTGCCTTGTCTTCTTCTCCTCAAATGACGCAGTCCCGACATTCATCCAGGAGCGCTTCATCTTCATCCGCGAGAGGTCACACAATGCATACCGTGCTTCGACCTACGTGATCTCCTCCCTCATTGTCTACCTTCCATTCTTCGCCATCCAGGGCTTCACCTTTGCGGTGATCACAAAGTTCATGCTCCATCTGAATAGCAGCTTGCTTTACTTCTGGATCGTCCTCTTTGCATCGCTCATCACAACAAATGCCTATGTGATGCTGGTGAGTGCGCTTGTTCCGAGCTACATCACTGGCTACGCCGTCGTGATTGCAACAACAGCGCTCTTCTTCCTCACCTGCGGATTCTTCCTGAAGCGGAACAAGATCCCTATTTACTGGAGATGGCTTCACTACATCTCCGCAATCAAGTACCCGTTTGAGGCGTTGCTCGTCAACGAGTTCAAAGGCAGCCATTGCTACACTGGCACACAAAATCAGCTGTCACCAGGACCTCTGGGAGAAATCAAGTACAGTGGCCTTCATGATCAACTGAACCCAAACATCACAACATGTCCCCTGATAGGCCAGGATGTGCTCACCTCCATGGATATCACAATGGACAGCATCTGGGTTGATGTTGCAATCCTCCTTGCCTGGGGTGTGCTCTATCGGCTCTTCTTCTATGTGGTCCTGAGATTCTACTCCAAGAATGAGAGGAAGTAAATAGCTTTGCAGCAAAGGCATACCAAATATGTATCCCATAGTATCTCTTTGTGTGCATTTGTTATCTTTCTCATTCTCTATTGACAGAATGCATTTGTTATCTCCTTTCAGCACATTGCTACCAGCTTTAATCTATGTAATGGAAAGTTTGCCTTCAAAAGCATCAAGTGAAAGCCAACATCATTCTTTCTTATTTTGACCAATTCAGGTAGATGTGCCCCAGAGGCTGGACCGTGCAGCATTTCGTTGTAGGTCGCCATGCAGTCATGCAGGAAGTCATACTGTGCTCTTACATATAAGAACCATAGAATATGTAATTGTCACACATTTTACAATGAATAACTTGCAAAACAAAGGTGTGGAATATTGTTACCAAATGTATTTATTTCTCCGCTATGTTTACAAAAGCTACTGCATCAATTACCAATGGACACGGACAAGCAAACTATGATGGCATCAACAGGAAATCAGATTCGCACAAGTAGTCTACAATATGAGAAATATTTTTAGAGATTGAATGAGCAAGTTATTAGATTTTTTGAATTAAAAACACATAACAAGATAGGTAGAACAAGGTACAGACTCACACTAGTAACAAGAAATATAGTTCATTTTAGACAGAAAAGCTAGAAAAATCCTGCAAGAGCAACTTTAGTTTTGTAGGTAAACTTTCAACATGTAGATTCCTAGAGTAGTTTTCCAACATCAAAATACATACTCTCTCGGGTGTATGTGCATGCACCAGGACCACTACTAAAGCGCATAAATTAATACTCCCTCCGTTCCTAAATATAAGTCCTTTTAGAGATTCCAATACGGTCTACATACGGAGCAAAATGAGTGAATATACACTCAAAACTATGTCTATATACATCCGTATGTAGTCCGTGTTGAAATCTCTAAAAGGTCTTATATTTAGAAGCGGAGGGAGCATATGAAAATACAGAGACAACCAGAATGTCCACACATGTAGGTCATGTTTTATTCATAAGCGCTCATTTAAGAGTTGAGTCCATAGGAGTACAACATAGGAGTAACATGATAGCTCAGTGTTTAAGAGAGCCATGCTGCGCAATTTTTCTCTCAAGGCCGGTCTTGTCAGCCCCGACAACCTTATCAATCTCTTTGCCGTTTATCACACAGGAGAATGTTGGAACACTTGAGACATTCCAGCGATGGGCAATATTGCCTTGTTGATCAATGTCCAGCTTAAGGAATACGACATTCCGGTGCTGTTCAGATAAGCTTTTGTAAACAGGGCCCATAAAACGACATGGTCCACACCATGTTGCAGTAAAATACAGAATCACAAGCTTTGACAGTTTTGACGCGGCTGTAAATATTTCTTCCAGTTGATTAGATGAGTGGATAGTGATCACATCACCTGATAAAACATCACAAAATAATGTGCGAGTCAGACACATTAAATCCAGCTTCAGTAGCAATATTAATCACTTCACTTTGCAGAGAAAATGTTATAAGAACACAGAACATTATGGTCTGCAAAAGCAAGCAAAAAATATGGGTAATGTTATTCAGCGAACGTTCGCTGGGGATGCATGGCAAAACGAATGTTTTTCACGGCAATTTCTGTGTTGGGAGCATGGCAGTTCTTTCAAGCGAACACAGCAATTTCGCAGCAAAATCCTGTCTGCCAGAAGTTGCCATGTGTTTGTGAACAAATTGCCATGTGCTTCTGAAGAATTTGCCACAGAAAACGTTCACAATTGCCATGCCCCACAGCGAACGTTTGCTGTCTATTGGGGTCCAAAAATATTGTGTATACTTCCTTCGAACGCTTGTATATAAGTCTGTATGGAGATAATCTAACAAATAATTATATACGAAACTTACCAGGCTTTAGAACAGCAGAAGCAGCAGAAACCTGTGTAACACAATGTATATGAAAACATTAGCATACAGAAGTTGCTTGAGGTATCAAGACAGTCACAACAAAACCAAACATGGTTTGAGTATTTGTAAAGACCTTCCTACTAATTAAACGAGTTTCAGTCTTAATGATAACACTTGGAAACACAAAGAATTTGTAGAGAACTTCCTACTTATATCAACCATTTGGAAAGATGATTACCTCCTCAGCATGCCTACGTTGTCTTTCCAAGTCAGCTTTTTTCATGTCCCTCTCTTTACGCAGGCGTTCATACTTTTTCTTGTGCTCCTCAATTTTGTGTACATTGGGTTCAACCTGTACATGGATGCATGTTTGAGACATATCCTTACTTCAAGCGGCCAGGACCAGCGTCCTCCCTAATCTCCATTTTTCCATGGTAGGCTATGTTAACAAGAGTGCGGCGATTTGGAGCTCAGGCAATGAATTGAAACGCAAGGCTTTTGCGTTTTCTTGAGAGAAAAAAAAGGCTCTGCTGATCCCGGAAATTTTAAAAAGGTAATGTCTGCTATCTTCAACAAATTTTAACACATCAAAATTTATGTTCGAATTTCTCAAGAATCCAGGATCACTAAGCCCGGGGTCCAAAAGGCATTTTGGATGTTAGTGGTTACTATATTACCTTCTTAAGCTCTGAGCTGATCTCTTCATCAAAATCCAATTTTGCTGCCAAGTGAAGGTCATGAGCAGCATCTTCCCACTTCCCAAGCATAGCTTTCGCCATCCCTCGTGATTTATATCCTTTAGCAGAATCTGGATTTATCTGAGCAAGTACACATTACACAGGAACTTGATTGTGAGCATATCTATGGAAAGCAATGGGATTTATTATCCATGAGGGATCCAAACCTGTAATGCTGCCTCCGCATCAAGAATTGCTGCATTTGGTTTCTTCATCTTCACAAAAACACCAGCTGCATAAAGTGCATCAAAGATAAGAGCGCCATATAAAGTTAAGATCAAATTGAAGGATTACATATAGTAATTCTTGATACCCCTGGCTGCATAGAGGATAGCTGAAGTGGGGTTCAGCAAGATGGCCTCCGTCAGGTGCTCGACTGCTTCGTCCAGTTTACCTAATACACAAATCCACATTTATTTAAATATTCAAATAGTAGGAGCACTTTCAGTACCAAGGTTCACCGAACTACAACAGCTCGCCTCCATTCTCCTATATTGCAGGTATTAAAAGACTAATTGGCTCACATCGCTATGACAATAATTAAACCTTTACCTTCTGAAAGTGCATCAACGCCCTTCTTTTTGTAGAGCTGTGCCTTGTCGCGCATTTCTTCAGAGACTTCAACTGATGGATCTCCCATCTGTAACAGATAAGGGCAAAGCAACAACATCAATTTTCCACACCATCAGCACGGAACATATGATTGAAGGCTCTATCAAAATCAGACGACTTTTCACCCAAATTCTGACCTTCTGCAGAGGATCATTGTCCGGCTCAACAACTTCCCCTTCCAATTCGATGTCCGACTCCATGATTTCATCCTCAAAGCTGTTCTCTCCCGCCTTTGCCATGCCTTCTGCAAAAACCAGAATTCACTAAAATTCAACTAATCTGTAAAAAAATTGTTTGAATAACTCGCACAAAACCAACTAATAGGACTAACTGAGTCCAACATTAAGAACCAATAAAGATAATCTTGCACATCAATGACGCCCAAATCATCAACAATAGGGTGTCAGCGGTACACAATGAAGATACCTAGAAAGATTACCGGAACCCTACCCTCACCCCTCACTGCAAGGCTGTGAACAGGACCAATAAAATTCATCGGAAAAGAAGGAACAAGAGGGAGAGTGGGACGGGGGGACTAAAGGCTTTGTCGAAGTCCAAAACAAAATGGTTTCTTCGATGCTTCCTCTCACTTTGATGGCAACAGGATAAGTGAAGAATCCGATTGAACGAGATCACCTGATA